TGAGCCCTGAGTGGGTGGGGCAGGGAATGGGCGGGGATTGGGAGGGAGGAGGGGACCGGAGAGCCAGGCTGCCTTTGCGGGGCCTGGGAGGAACCACCGGGCATCTCCGCAGGGACCCGCCCACGCCCCGGTGGAAGATGTCCAGGGCCGAGACATACTCACGCATGCGTCTGAAGCTGGTGCCCAACCATCACTTCAACGCTCACCTGGAAGCCAGTGCCCTCCGCGACAACCTAGGTGAGAGGGAGAGCCGGTTGGGCCCGCCCGACCCCACCTGCTGCCCCGTCCATTTCTGGCTGAACACCCGTGGGCCCATTGCAGGCGAGGCCCCCCTAACACCCACCGAGGAGGCGGCGCTGCCTCTAGCAGTAACCAAAGAGGCCAAAGTCAACTCCGTGCCCGAGGAGCTGCCGGAAGACCAGCTGGGCGAGGAGGAGCTGGCCTCCCTGGAGACGGCGTGAGTGGGGCTGGGAGAGCCGCCGGGCCGGGCGTCTGCTCCGGGTACATGAGCGGGGGTTTGGCCCCGAGTCCATTCCCTCTGCCGCAGGGCTAAACACCCTGGAGGACTGTCCCACATCAGGTGGGGCTGGCGAGAGGTGTCGCCCAGAACAGATGTTGCTCTTTCACGGCGAGGCACCCAGAGGAGGGCAGGCAACACAGACCAGCCTAGGAGGGGCCCACGGGAGTGGCAGGGGCTGAGCGAGGGGAAGCTGGGCACACGCGCTGGTGTCCTGGCAAGACATTCAGAGACCCAGGGGCAGGACCGGGGGCCAGTCTGGACCCTGAGCAGCTCCTCCCTCCCCTCGGACCTGATGGCACTCGGGGCGTGCTCCTGGGCTTGTGGGAAGGGGTCCCAGAGCCACGAGCCTGAAGTGGGTGCTGACCCGCAGGATGGAGGCGGCGGAGCTGGACGAGCAGCATGAGAAGCTGGTGCTGTCAGCGGAGTGCCAGCTGGTCACGGTGGTGGCCGTGGTCCCAGGGCTGCTGGAGGTCACCACGCAGCACGTATACTTCTACGACGGCAGCGCCGAGCGCGTGGAAACCGAGGAGGGTGCGTCTGGGGGAGCTGCGTGGAGGGAGGGCAGGGGTGGCGGGTCGCTGGGCCAGGCTGAGTGGCTCCCGCACCTGCTCTCCGTCCTTGCAGGCGTCGGTCACGACTTCCGGCGGCCGCTGGCCCAGCTGCGCGAGGTCTACCTGCGGCGCTTCAACCTGCGCCGCTCAGCGCTGGAGCTCTTCTTCATCGACCAGGCCAACTACTTCCTCAACTTCCCATGCAAGGTGGGTGGGACTGCAGCCTCCTCTCCCTGCCAGGCCCCCAGGCCTCAGCCCGGCTCCGTCCCGCCCCACACCCAGATGCGGAACCAGGTGTACAAGTGGCTCCTGCGCCTGCGGCCGCCTGCCCAAGGCTACCTGAGCAGCCGCTCCCCGCAGGAGATGCTGCGCGCCTCCGGCCTGACCCAGGTGGGAGCCCTGGACCGTGAGGGGTCGGGGGGGTCACGGCCCTGTGGTGGCTGGACGTCTCCACGGGCTCACCTCTTGCCTGCCCTGCCCCCCCAGAAATGGGTGCAGCGGGAGATATCCAACTTCGAGTATCTGATGCAACTCAACACCATCGCCGGGCGGACGTACAACGACTTGTCTCAATACCCTGTGGTGAGAGCCGGCTCCATACCTCCACCCGCCCCTCTGACTGCCAGCCCGGTTCACCCAAGTGTAGGCACTGATGGGGGCCACGCCCTGAGCCTTGTCCTAGGCCGGTGTTGCCTAAGCCCTGGCCTCTGTTCTTGCCACTCCCCCCGCAACACACACACCCACACACCCAGCCCCACTCTTGTCCCCTCCTGGCCCGTTTTCCCTGAGGGGTACCCTGTCCCAGGCAGTCCGTCCTGCTCCCCTGTGGCCTCTCCTAGTGGGTCCCCACCTGTGGGCTCTGCCCATCTTCCTGAGGGTGAGGGCAGGGCAGAGCGGGCAGGTAGGCCACCAGGACCCTCATGCAGCTCCTGCCCGGGTGGGCGGCCAGTTCCCCTGGGTCCTACAGGACTACGTGTCCCCAACCCTGGACCTCAGCAACCCGGCTGTCTTCCGGGACCTGTCCAAGCCCATCGGTGTGGTGAACCCCAAGCATGCCCAGCTCGTGAGGGAGAAGTGAGCATGTGGGCAGGGCTGGGCTCGGAGGGTGGGACGGGCCACGGGAGGGCTTCTGCCGACCCCCCCAATTGTGACTCCAGGTATGAGAGCTTCGAGGACCCAGCGGGCACCATTGACAAGTTCCACTATGGCACCCACTATTCCAACGCAGCGGGCGTGATGCACTACCTCATCCGCATGGAACCCTTCACCTCCCTGCACGTCCAGCTGCAGAGTGGCCGGTGCGGCCCAGGGAGGGGCGGCAGATGGCCACGGGCGGGGAGGCCAGCGTTTGAGGGGAAGAGGCAGGTCCTCCACCCCGTCGTCACCGCCTCACTTTGGCCCGTGCCCCTCTCCACCAGCTTCGACTGCTCTGACCGGCAGTTCCACTCGGTGGCGGCGGCCTGGCAGGCCCGCCTGGACAGCCTGGCCGACGTGAAGGAGCTCATCCCGGAATTCTTCTACTTCCCCGACTTCCTGGAGAACCAGAACGGTAGGGACTGGCGTGGGGATGCAGACGCGGGCCACGGGGGGCAGGTGTGGTGGGGAAAGAGATGCGGTCCGGGGAGTGGGTGAAGACAGCTGACCAGTCCTCTGTTCCAGGCTTTGACCTGGGCTGCCTCCAGCTGACCAATGAGAAGGTGGGCGACGTGGTGCTGCCCCCGTGGGCCAAGTCCCCTGAGGACTTCATCCAGCAGCACCGCCAGGCCCTGGTGAGGACATGGGTCATATAGCCAGGCAGCCGGGGTGGAAGGTCAGGGTTCGGGGTCAGCTGTCTGTCCCTGGACTGACCGCCCCTCCCCGTCCATCCCCAGGAGTCGGAATACGTGTCCACCCACTTGCATGAATGGATTGACCTCATCTTTGGCTACAAGCAGCGGGGCCCGGCCGCAGAGGAGGCCCTCAACATCTTCTATTACTGCACCTATGAGGGTGGGCAGGCCCTGGGCTCACCTGGAGGCTGGGCACGGAGGAGGAAGGGTGGAGGCAGAGGGCACGGAGGAGTCCTGACTGCTTGGTCTGCCCGCCCAGGGGCTGTGGATCTGGACCAGGTGACGGACGAGCGGGAGCGGAAGGCTCTGGAGGGCATTATCAGCAACTTCGGGCAGACTCCCTGTCAGCTGCTGAAGGTAAGGCCCGCGCGGAGGCCGCGGGCAGGGGTGTCCAGGCCACGGTGCTAACTGGCCACTCGCCCGCCCGCAGGAGCCGCATCCAGCCCGGCTCTCCGCGGAGGAAGCAGCCCAGCGCCTCGCCCGTCTGGACACGAACTCGCCCAGCGTCTTCCAGCACCTGAACCAGCTCAGGGCCTTCTTTGCGGAGGTGAGAGGAGGCCGGGCCTCGGCTTCCTACTCTCGGAAATGAGTTCAACCTGCTGTTGCCCTTACCAACCTGTTGGGGCAGAGGGAAGACCGACATCAGGGCCACTGGCACTCAGACACCTGGGGAAACCAGAGGACTGGGGGTGCAGCTGGGCAGGAAAAGGCCCGGACGCAGCCACCCCGAGGGCCTCGGGGAGACCGGGAGGGCGGGCATCTCCATGGACACTCCCTCGCCTTCCTGCTGCGTCTCGCACGCCCCGGGGCCTGACGTTCTTAGGCTGCCCTCTCCTGCCCGCAGGCTGGGGGACATGGAGTATCGGGGTGGGTGGACCGAGCTTGAGGCCCTGTCCACCCCAGCTTCTCACTCACTTTCTGAGGCGCCCCCTGAAGACCCACTGGTCTCACACGTGCTTCCCAGTGGGACCTGGGGCCTCTGGGGGCGGAGAGTCAACGAGGCAGCGGTGCCCAGGGAGCAGGTGGTGTAGCGGGGCGCTGGCTGGCCTCTCGGACACAGCCAGCCTCCTTCGACCCGCAGCTCATCAGCGACGGTGTGCCCCTGGTGCTGGCCATGGTTCCCCACCGGCAGCTCCACTCCTCCATGACCCCGGACCTGCTGGTAAGTGCGCTGGGCAGGATGCCACCGGCCCCGCCCCCTCTCTGACTGCACCCCAAACCTGCCTCTGCTCCCCTTGCTCGCAGGTGACGGTGAGTGCCAACGGGCTGCTGGGCACCCACAGCTGGTTGCCCTATGATCGCAACATAAGCAACTACTTCAGGTTCATCAAAGACTCCACCAAGTGAGAGGGCTACGGCAAGGGGGTCCCCCACTAAGCAGGATGCTGGCCAGCCAAGGGCCTCGGTATCCTGGCCTCACCTGTCACTCCCTTCCTTGGTCAGGGGGCAGCGGCTGCTGAGTGGCCCCTGGGTGCCGGGCAGTGGCGTGAGTGGGCAAGCCCTGGCAGTGGCCCCCGACGGAAAGCTGCTGTTCAGTGGTGGCCACTGGGACGGCAGCCTCTGCGTGACCGCGCTGCCGCGGGGCAAGCTGCTGAGCCAGATCAACCGCCACCTTGGTATGAGCTCCCTGAGGCTGGGGTGGTGCGGGGCGGGGCCCGTGCCAGAGGCTGGCCGGGAGGCGTGACGACTCTGTTCTACTTGGACCTTCCCCTCCCCACGCAGACATAGTGACCTGCCTTGCACTGGACACCTGTGGCATCTACCTCATCTCAGGCTCCCGGGACACCACCTGCATGGTGTGGCAGCTCCTGTACCAGGTGTGCTGGCGGGCAGCTCGGTGGGGCCCCCGTAGTCAGACCTGCCGCCCGCCCACCCCTCTGCAGGCTTCCAGTCCTGCTCCTCTCGTCCCCTTCCCTCCATGACCCTCTAGCTCTCTGGCTTCACCCCGTCCCCTCACGCTCCTGAGCCTTCGCCTCCCTGTTCAGGGGCCGGGATAATGGGGTGCCCCCAGGCCTGAGACAGCCCTGGATTCCCACAGGGTGGTCTCTCGGTGGGACTGGCATCGAAGCCCATACAGGTCCTGTACGGGCACGAAGCTGCTGTGAGCTGTGTGGCCATCAGCACGGAACTGGACATGGCTGTGTCCGGATCGGAGGTCTGTGTATGCCTGTGCCCGGGGGGCCGACGGCTGGGCACTGCCTCTGGAGCCCAGAGCCCCTGCCTAGCACCCTAAGCTGCCTTCCTACAGGACGGAGCTGTGATCATCCATACTGTACGCCGTGGCCAGTTTGTAGCAGCACTACGGCCCCCGGGGGCCATGCTGCCCGGACCTGTGTCCCACCTGGCGCTGGGGTCTGAGGGCCAGATCGTGGTGCAGAGCTCGGCGAGGGAACGTCTGGGGGCTCAGGTATGGGAAAGGGGCACCGATCAGGACGGGGTGGTTGGGATTCTGTGCTTGCTGACACCTCCTGCTTCTCCCAGGTCGCCTACTCCTTGCACCTGTACTCAGTGAACGGGCGGCTGCGGGCCTCCCTGCCCCTGGTGGAGCAGCCCACCGCCCTGGCGGTGACGGAAGACTTTGTTCTGCTGGGCACAGCCCAGTGTGCCCTGCACATCCTCCACCTGAACAAGTGAGCCCCACTGTCAATGGGTTCCTGGTCCCTCAGGGAGGTGGCCATTGGCAGAGGAACCAGGAGGTGCCCCCTGTGGACCCACACCCTCTTTGCATGCTCACGGGGACGTCCTGCAAGTCCCGTCCCTGACTCCCCGCCCCCCACTAGGGAGATCTCGCCCTTGGCCTCTCTTAGCCACACATCCCTGGCAGACCTCTTCACGAATCAGGGTTTCAATCGAGCCATCCTGCAAATGAGGGCAAACAGGGCATTTAGGAGAATGAGGAGTCTGCTGGGTGCCAAGCTGCCTTGCGTTTCGAGTTCGTGTAACCCCTCCTTCCCTCCCTGCAGACTGCTGCCGGCTGCGCCTCCCCTGCCCATGAAGGTGCCCATCCGCAGCATGGCGGTGACCAGGGAGCGCAGCCACGTGCTCGTGGGCCTGGAGGATGGCAAGCTGATCGTGGTGGGCGCGGGGCAGCCCGCTAAGGTGAGGACAAGGGCGGGAGGGGGCTCGAATGGGGCGCCGAGTGATGGTCTTGGCTGACCCACCGCTCCTCCCACCAGGTGCGCAGCAGCCAGTTCGCTCGGAAATTCTGGGGGTCCTCGCGGCGCATCTCGCAGGTGTCCTCTGGGGAGACCGAGTACAAACCCGAGGAGGAGCGCTGACCACCGGCCCGTCCCAGCGCGGGCCCCGCCC